CTACCTGGAACATTATTATAGCAACATGGGTGCTTCATCTATTTCAAATGAATATCCTAAATGGTAGTAAAGAACTCCAAGTACGGCATTATATTAATATATGTAAATTTTACCATAAATGCATAAGAGTTTCGGGCTTTTGTTGGCAGGCACTATATTTAATGTCCGCAATGTCAGTAAACTGCAATAATATGCAATATACTGCAAATAGCATTAATACTAGATTTTGCCAAGTCGATCAGATCACTTTGTAAAAGTGTATATTAAAATTATTATTATTAATAAAAGCTACCTAAATTGGAATTTACTTAATATGTAATTAAAATAGCCTAATATGTAATTAAAATAACCCAGTGTGCGTTAAACCAAATTAAAACAGTTTTTAACATAAAGAAGATAATTCATGTTAAACTTTAAAAAGAAAATATCACAAATCGTCCAAATATTTTAAAATGACATCCGATTAAAAATTAATACTGGGGTAGCAATGCCTTTCATGCCGTATCCGATCTAATAATACCTGACAATACCTGACAATATCTGTCAAATCTATAATTTCTTATAATTGTTAGTGCGCTACCCACGTTCAAACCAAACCTGACAATATCTGTCAAATCTATAATTTCTTATAATTGTTAGTGCGCTACCCACGTTTCTGTGTATTTTATATATTATATATTGATAAGTTTTTTATATTGATAAGTTTTCCGTTACTGTTTTGTGTTATTCAGTTATTTTAACCATATTGTCTATATTTTGTGTTATTGCGGTTGTAATTTTGAAATAAGATATTATAGTTCTTCATTGGAAGTATTAAAATACTTTTACTCGTTATATATCATACCATATTCATTATCATTATCATATCATATAAGTATTATCACATTTTATATCTGCAATTTAAAAAGAAATCGAGACAAATCAAAAAATAATAATATGATATTCAAATTACTTTATGCTTTTATGAAATATTATTTAAGTGACACAAACTTGAAATTGTTGCATTTATCTTCTTAATAATAGAAATGAGTGATTCTGATTATGGAAACTTAACTGTGAATATATATGGCATATTAATTACATAATGCACAATATTCAGAAATTATTTTTTTATTGTAGGTTTTTAATTAAATATGGAAACCCCAGCAGAAAACGAAAATAATAGTGCAATTAGTTGCATTATTTGCGAAAATTTAGGATCTGGTTCAGAATTAAGCACAGACTTAGGAAATATAGTGAAAATTACTAGAGGAATTCCAACATTGAAATCTACTTCAAATGAGAGACAAGACGGATTAATTCAATTTTTACACACTGATTTTGTACATGCCCATACAATCTGCAGACAAAAATACACAAAAAAAAATATATTGAGATTCACAAAAATCAGAAAACAGATGTTTCTTCAGAGTCTCCTCAGAAAAAAAAATACGAACTAGTTTTTCAACAGATTTTGATTGGAAAAATAACTGGTTTAATTTGTGGTAAAGAAGCTAAGGAGACGAAAGAAAAAAACAAAAACAAAACACAACGAAAACAAATTGCATACGTTAATAGTACGGCTTTAAAGAATAATTTACTTTGTAGCTTTACAGAAAAATGATTTCTGCAGAGAAATTCATAAAATAATTTCACGAATAATGGATCTGCAGAGTTTTGGTGCAAAGTACCATGCAGATTGTTATCAGTCTATGAAAAATTCAATACAAAGTTATAATGTCCCCATAAAAAATAATCCTCGAACTTTAATGGTAGATGTAGCTATGGAAGAAATATATAAATATATAGAAAAGAACAATGATTGTCAGTTTTCTTTATAAAAACTAAAGAATATACTGCCGACAGAATACGTACCTGAAGATAAAACAATTAAATCACGATTAATTTCTCAATATGAAGATAATATTACTCTTTCCAGTAAATTCGGTTCAAATACAATGATATGTTTGAAGAAAATATACCATGAAATTTTGTCTGAAAATTGGTACAATGAAATGATGACGAAGAATTTAGAATTTTGCGAGCGGCTGGAGAAATTATTAGAAAAAATATAAGAAGTCAAGTTTATTGCAATGACTATTATTTAGCTAGTGACAAAATGTTTTCAAACCTTGATGAATACATTCCAAAATCACTGAATTTTTTACTATCGGAAATAATTTTTAGCGATAAGAAAAATAAACTAGAAAATATTTCATATTTTGACATTAAATGCAAATCAATTGCACATGCCATTATAGCTGCAGTACAACCACGATCTTTCCTTATAACCCCTACATATTGCTTTAGCTGTAATGTTTCACCGAAAATTCGGCTCTAAAAAAATTATAAAGATATATGTAACAGCTTAGGATTTTGTGCTTCGTACAAAGAAGCATAACTATATGAAGCTTCAACGACTATTGCAAATTCGATAACAATAGAAAAAGGTGCTTTTGTGCAATTTGTACATGATAATGCTGACTTCAATGTCAACACAATTGACGGCAGAGGTACATTTCATAATATGGGATCCATTGAAATAGTTACCCTAGGTAAAAGACTAGCGTATAGAGAACCTATTAAACGACTATTAAACTTATTAAAACATATTCCAACTGAATCTACCATAGCTGAAACCGGAAATATTCCTATTGAAGTATACCCAGCTTCCGCAGGTGTAGGGTTTGAAAAAATGATTATCAAATTAGTAGAAAAAGAACCAGATATACTACAGCCACAGAATATCTAGCTACGCAACAGAAGCCTCGTTACATGCACAAAATTGTAGGTATCAAAAGGAGACAGGCTTTTAAAGCCTGTCTCCAAATCAGATATTTTGATGCGATAGTTTCGCTACTACATAATAGAAAGCGATAAATTTTAAAGAAAACAGTTTTCTACAAACGAAATTTAAAAGAATTTTGTGCAGTGTTGCCATTGTGTAATTCATATTGTAATACTTCCTGATAAAGCCTACCTTCAAATTTGCTACATCATTTAAACATATTAAAATAGATCAGAGCTCTTTTTTCAAACGTTAAGTATTTAGAGAGAGCATATAAAGTGGTACCTTCTAGAGTACCATATGACACCACTTTCTGACGTTCGATAGGGTTCATATTTGATATATACCTTCTTAATTTTGATGACATTGCAATATTATGATAGCTTGAACCATAATAAGTGGTCTTCCCCTACGAGATGCGAGACCTTGACGTTGGTGGGGAAGCTCCCGGCCAGGGCACCGGAGGGGACCCCTCTTGCGCTCTGGCTAGGTCTAAGGAGCATCTCAATGTCTTGTCCCTGGCTGTAGTGTCGTGGCCAGGGAACTGCATCAAGACATAAAAACGATGCCGGACGGGACCTCCTACGGGACTTAACGTCCGTCATACCGTAAGTCTCTCTTAGGAGAGAGACATGGGGGCTTTGGCTTTACTGTCTGAGCCGCGTGGATGAGGTACCACTATAAAAACCTCCCAAATCCTACGGTATAGTGCGCGCCAAAGGGATGGATGGTCGGGGGGAAACCCGACCACTAGCGACTAACCTGGGATACCGGGCGACCTCCCAGCTCATAAATGCCTAGTCACGGTATTGCGGGGCTCTGCCGTGATGGTCGTTTCTTTCCCCTGCTACTCGTGGGATCATTATATGGACCAAGAAAGCAAAAAACCCAATGACGAGGATGGATCAAACCGTCCCGATCCTTCTCCTAAGGAGGAGGAAACTAAGGAGCGTGGGACTATTCCTACCCCAAACAACTCACCTCAGCCGGATCAGGAAACAGAGGGGCCCAGATCCCCCTCGCCTGAGAAGGCAGAAGGTGAACCTCCTTTCGGGGTCTCCAAGCAATTGGAGAAATTATCCCTGGAAAAGAAAAGGTTTGCAGGGGCGACAAGAAAGCTCCTCTCAAGACTTCTCAAGGGCGGAATGCCCTATGAGACCGCTCTGCAGACGATTCTGCAGCGACAAGCGGAGAAACAAAGGGCACAGATAAGTGGGGGTACCTCTTCCGGGAAGAGACAAATCAACCCGGAGGAGAATAAACCTCACACTGGTGCTCCTAATGCTAGCAAGCGCATCCGCTCGGATGCAAGCACGCCTGAACAGAGCGCTAAGAAGCCTTGTAGGGAGGGCGCAAGAAGCTACGTGGAAGCCGCTGGGGAAATAAGGGTTGGAGTAATCCGACCTAACCACCCAGAGAACAGCCTATCCACCGAGCAACTCTTGTTGTTGAAACGTGCCATTATGAAGGCCGTGGACGCAAGCACAGAGGAAGGACTACAGGTACGCTTCCAAGGCTGCTCGATTCGGCCTGGATGGCTGCTTGTAATCTGTGCCGACGAGACCAGCGCTGCGTGGTTAGAAAGGATGGTCAACGACCTTTCGCCATGGCAGGGCATGGAACTCAGGGCAGTAAGGGGGCGGGATATACCCAAGCCTCATGTCTGTACGGCCTACATTCCCGATGATGAGCCTGGAGAACGGCTCAGAGGGGATGTTGTGCTGAACAGACTTAGAAGAATGAATCTTAGCCTGCTAACTCAGGAGTGGAGAATCCTCCACCAGAGTGATGCAGGGCCGGGACAAACCTGGACCTTTGCGGTTGATGAGAGATCCATGGATCTCCTTCGCCGCAACGGATTCAGGGCCTACTTTGGGTTTGGGCAGATTACCTTCCGACCCAGAGATAAGGAAAATGAAACCAATACGGAGCAGACCAGGGCGTCAGTCTCGGGAGATGGTGGGGACCATCCTACAGCCTCTCGGGTGACGACTGACGCCACGAGGTCTGGCAACACCCAGAGGGAGAGAGCTGGAGGCAAAGTAGTGGCACGGAAAAACCCGGCCATGAAAGGGTCTAAAGCTAAACCCTCTGGAGCCTCGGGGAAGCCTGGCAACTCGAGTGGGAACAAACCCACCCGGAAAGGCAGGCGGAACGAATGTAGGTTTCCCACCAAAAGGGGACGTAGACCCCCTGACGGTGGGAGCAAAACCTAAATTTGACTACTGCAGGGATGGCTGCAGCAGTCAAATGTATACAAATTAACCTGCAACATGCCAAGGCCGCCTCTAACGTCCTTGGCAGAAGGTTCAAGAAGGAGGACGTGCATCTCGCCTTCATTCAAGAACCCTGGGTTAACTCAGGCCGCGTATGTGGCCTTGGGGACGCAGAGGGTAGGCTAATTACCGCCCCTGGAGTAACCAGACCTAGGGCATGCATTTTAGTAAAAAAGAGCGTGCACTCTTTTAACCTTTATAGGTTCTGCTGTCAGGATGTGGTGGCGGTACATATCAAGATCCCAGCGGGGAGGAGCGGAGGAGGAGTGGAGTTCATTGCCTGCTCAGCATATTTCCCGGGAAACAAGACAGCGGATTTACCTCCTCCAAAGAAAGTGACAGAACTAATCTCCTTCTGCAAGAGGAAAAACCTACAGCTGGTGATAGGATGCGACGCCAACGGCCACAACGAGGCATGGGGAAGCACGGACACCAACTTCAGAGGTGAGTTAATTCTTAATTACTTAATAGGTGAAGGGTTAGTAGTTAATAACATAGGCTCCGAACCAACCTTTCTTACTTGTAACAGGAAAGAGGTTTTAGACATTACCGTCAGCTCTAATTACTTGAGCAATAGGATATCCAATTGGAGGGTATCATCTGAGCCATCGTGCTCGGATCATAGACACATACAGTTTGAAATAAGCGTAGGTGAAAGAACTCTCCTGCAATATAGGGATCCTAAGTACACAGATTGGGAAGGATACAACCGCTCACTCGTGCATCTGCTGGAACCCACAATTGCAAAAGTGAGAGATCGCGACGAGATCGAGATTGCAGCGGAGCAACTGCGATGTGCAATTATAACGGCTTATAGTGAAAACTGTCCACTTAAAACAAAGAAGATAATAGAAAGTCCTCTTGGTGGAACAACAAACTGGACAAAAGAAGAAAAGAAGTGCGGCAGCTTTTTAACCGCGCTAAAGTGTCAGGTAACTGGGAAACTTATCGTGCGACGTTGGCGGAGTACAATAAGGAAATAAGACGGGCGAAGAGAGAGTCCTGGAGAAGGTTCTGTGGGAGTCTGGTCGATCTACCTCAAAGCACCAGAATTCACAAGATTCTCTCAAAAGAACCAGTGAATGAGCTAGGGACGATACAGCGCCCCGACGGTAATTTCACAGAGTCCAGGAAAGAAACGCTACAGATTTTGGCCCAAAAACACTTCCCAGGCTGCTTGATACTAGGTGATGAAGAGCACCCCCCCCGATACTCATGCGTCGTAAAAACCGGCCCAAAAAAGAGGATTGGGAGATAGCGAAGAAAGTAATCACCTATAGGGAGACTAAAGGGGCGATCGAAAGTTTCGACCCATTCAAATCCCCAGGAGAGGACGGAGTGTTTCCGGCCTTATTGCAGAAGGCTGAGAACATTATCGTCCCTCGCTTATTAAGAATTTTTAGGGCAAGTCTGGCATGGTCACACCTGCCAGCTGACTGGACGAGAGCAAAGGTGGTATACATACCGAAAGTGGGGAAACAAAACCTACAACCTGGCTCATATCGACCAATAAGCCTTACATCATTTCTGCTGAAGACTCTGGAGAAGATATTGGATGGACACATTAGGGGGAGGATTCTTACGTCTAATCCCCTGAATGTCCGACAATATGCTTATCAACAGGGAAAATCAACAGAACTGGCCCTCAACAATTTGGTAGGGGAAATTAAGAGTACCTTTGATCGCAAAGAAATTGCGGTAGGGATATTCCTAGATATTGAGGGAGCATTCAACAATGTCACCCCTCAATCGCTCCTAGGCGCTGTGAAAGCACGAGGAGTCGAAGCTACCATAACTGAATGGATTGAGCAAATGCTCAAAAATCGAGTAGCAACGACCTCGCTCAGTGGTGAGTCCGTTAGGTTTGTTCCGGGCAGGGGATGCCCGCAAGGAGGAGTTCTCTCTCCTCTTCTGTGGACCCTGTTAGCGGACGACCTGATGGCAATCATCGATGCATACGAGGTTGAAGCACAGGCATATGCGGACGACCTGGTGATCCTAGTAAAAGGACACAAAGAGGAGGACATCTCCTCAAAAATACAGGAAATCCTAGATGCAATTCACGGCTGGTGCACACTGGAACAATTAAGTGTAAACCCACAGAAAACCGTGATCATACCATTCACCAGAAGAAGGAAAACAGACAAACTGAAACCGCCCATTCTTCTTGGTGAGACAATTCCGTTTGCGGAGGAAGTTAAGTATCTGGGATTAAACCTGGACAAAAAACTTAGCTGGACCTCTCATCTGGAAAAAACATCAAAAAAGGCTTGCTATGCTCTATGGGCATGCCGCCGAATTTGTGGTAGAAACTGGGGATTAAACCCCAAAAATATGTACTGGCTATACGTGACGGCCATCAGACCTATTATCACGTATGATGCAGTTACCTGGTGGCAGAAAGCCAACCAAACAACGGCAAAGAATAAATTGTCGAAACTACAACGACAAGCATGCTTAGCGGTGACTGGTGCCTTCCATTCCACGCCGTCAAAGGCTATGGAAACCCTACTCGATCTACCTCCTCTTCAAATTCTTTTGGAAAGAGAGGCGAGATGGGCTACATATAGGTTTCTAAATATAGAACGAGGAAGCCAAGGAACAATTATGTTCATACAAAACCGCTAATAGAAGAACTACAGTCGGATGAGATTATGGGAATGATCTCGGATCTTACACCACCAGTCCAACTCTTGACGCGCACCTACAACGTCCTGTTTCCGAATAGGGACGAATGGGATAAGCCGGGAAACGGTTTATTACGTGCGGAAATGTGTTGGTACACGCACGGATCCAAAAACGAAAAAGGATCTGGCGCAGGAATTTACTGCAGCAGTCCAAAGACTGAGATCTACCACAGCCTTGGAAAACACACCACAATTTTCCAAGCTGAGCTATATGCTATTGAAACCTGTGTGCAAATGCTGGTAGAACAGCAATACACCGGGAAAACAATATGCATATTTTCGGATAGTCAAGCCGCGCTGAAAGCACTTGAGGCAACGAAAAGCACGTCAATGACGATTCTTCATTGTAAGAAACTACTCAATATACTGGGAGATAGAAACAAAGTGTCGCTAATATGGATACCGGGACATGTCGGCCTAGAGGGAAATGAACGTGCTGATTCCCTCGCCAAAATTGGTGCAGGCTCGCCATTCGTGGGCCCAGAACCGACACTTAGCGTTCCTAAAAATCTCGCAAGAGACAGGCTCTGTGAAAGGGTTAGGGGTGCGACGTTCCGGGACTGGAATGACAGTCCCGGAATGGAACATGCCAAGAAAATCCTAGCAGGGCCATCCAAACATAGAACAGGAGAACTCCTAAAGGCCGGTAGGAATTGAGCGCGTACGCTCGCTTAGTGTACACGGGCCACTGCCGGCTGAGATCTCACCTACAGAGGATGAGACTGGTGGAAGACGCCGAATGCCAACTCTGTATGAAAGATGACGAAACAATGAAGCACGTTATGTGTACCTGTCCCGCTGGGGGCAGGACCAGGTTTGAGATGTTTGACAAACCCATGCTAGACCTATCAGACCTAGAAGACATATCGCCCTCGACATAACGGCCTATATTAAGAGGCTGGGTCTTGAGGATGAACTTTGACGCTCTTGTAAATTAGAGCTTGTAGAAACTGAGCCACAATAGGCCCTCGCGGCCTCAGTGGAGGGTCCCCCTTGGGACCCACTCTTAGTCAAATACAATACAATACAATAATAAGTGGTACCATAATATAGTACCATATTACGTACATGGCGTTTGATAGGGCTTAAACTTGGTATACTACGTGTCTTTGGGGACATTGTAATTTTATGATACCATGGAGCATATAAAGTGGTACCTTCTATAGTACCATATTATATTACCACCTCCTGATGTTCGATTGGGCTCAGAACTTGCGTATTTTTGATGACATTGCAATACTATAGTACCATGAAGTATATCAAGTGGTACCCTAATATAGTACCATACTATATATGTACACGGCGTTCGATTGGGCTTAAATTTTGTAAACTACTTATATTCGGTGACATTGTAATATGATGGTACTATGATGCATGTAAAGTGGTACCTTCTATAGTACCATATTATAATACCACTTCCTGACGTTCGATTCAGCTCATATTTGATATATAATTTCGCATTTTTTATGACATTGCAATATTATGATACCATGAACCATATCAAGTGGTACCTAATATAGTACCATATTACGTACATGGCGTTCGATTGGGCTCAAACTTGGTATACTACGTATCGTCGGTGACATTGTAATATGATGGTACTATGATCATATAAAGTGGTACCTTCTATCGTACCATATTATGATACCACTTCCTGACGTTCGATTGAGCTCATATTTGACATATAATTTCGTATTTTTGATGATATTGCAATATTATGATTCCATAAATCATATTGGTGTGGCAGTGGTACCATAATACAGTACCATATTACGTACATGGCGTTCGATTGGGCTCAAACTTGGTATACTACGTATCGTCGGTGACATTGTAATATTATGGTACCATGGAGCATATAAAGTGGTACCTTCTATCGTACCATATTATGATACCACTTCCTGACGTTCGATTGAGCTCATATTTGACATATAATTTCGTATTTTTGATGATATTGCAATATTATGATTCCATAAATCATATTGGTGTGGCAGTGGTACCATAATACAGTACCATATTACGTACATGGCGTTCGATTGGGCTCAAACTTGGTATACTACGTATCGTCGGTGACATTGTAATATTATGGTACCATGGAGCATATAAAGTGGTACCTTCTATCGTACCATATTATGATACCACTTCCTGACGTTCGATTGAGCTCATTTTTGACATATAATTTCGTATCTTTGATGATATTGCAATATTATGATTCCATAAATCATATTGGTGTGGTAGTGGTACCATAATACAGTACCATATTACGTACATGGCGTTCGATTGGGCTCAAACTTGGTATACTACGTATCGTCGGTGACATTGTAATATTATGGTACCATGGAGCATATAAAGTGGTACCTTCTATCGTACCATATTATGATACCACTTCCTGACGTTCGATTGAGCTCATATTTGACATATAATTTCGTATTTTTGATGATATTGCAATATTATGATTCCATAAATCATATTGGTGTGGTAGTGGTACCATAATACAGTACCATATTACGTACATGGCATTCGATTGGGCTTAAACTTGGTATACTACGTATCGTCGGTGACATTGTAATATTATGGTACCATGGAGCATATAAAGTGGTACCTTCTAAACTTGGTATACTACGGATCTTCAGTGACATTGCAATATTATGGTACCTTGAAGCATATCGAATGGTAGCATAATATAGTACAATATTATCATTTCATTTCCTGGATCTCGATTGGGCCCAAATTTGGTATACTAGCGTTTCTTTATAAAGATTTGTTTAATTAATAATTTTAATTTATTGTACGATGTCGTGACAGCAACTTTTATGCCGAATATGATATTATTAATTTTACCTGTGTCACTTTTCAAGATCTACCTATGTCTATATAAATAGCGTGGCAAACAGAAGAAATTTGTTATTATAGTATTTTTTAGTCAAGTAACATTTTTTGTACTGCATTTTAATAAATTATTTCCATTATTTTTAAACTTATATTTCATTACTAACGTTACAGCATTAATAAATATCACTATCAATCGCCCTGTACATATATTATTAATTTTAAAGGTATTTTCTTAGTTAACATTATAAGGTAGTGTATATTAAAAATGTATGTTTTGTAATAATATACTTAAAACTATTTTAAAAGCTAAACGAATAATTATTATATGTGTATCTGACAAGAAAAGAAGAATAGAAAGAAACAAGAAAAAGAATGGGATGATAAAAATACACAAGAAAAAGAATGGGATGCGAATTAAAGTCTTTTTGAATCTGGCAACTGTGCATATTTAGCCGAGCTTCACGGCC